CCATTATCACGAATAAAATTATTTTTATTAAATTAAATATTTGTTTAATATACTTTTGAAATAATGAACAATTAATAAATTAATATAAAAACAAAATAATAAAGTATGGCATTCCGGGATTTGAACCTGGGCAAAATATATTGCAAACATGCGACGCCTTAACCACTATACCACACTAGCTAATATATTTTCTGTAACTTATCTTGCTACTTATTGTTTTGTATTAATATACAAACGCCTCCCTCTCACGCCCCTGTATTTATATGCCCATAATATTTATACCATGTTATTTAAAATGATCTAAACTAATAGAAAATCGGAATTTTAATTGGATTGGACGGCGGCACTAGTTCCCCGTGCATCGTCAGACAACTGTCTCCACAGAGTTAATCCATACCAATTGACACGTTTTTTCCACCAAAAAAAACAATAAAATTATATTCGCGTACAAAAAGTATACAAGAATTGTGGTAAAAGTTAAACAATATATTGAAGAAATCGACAAGAATTTAAAAGTAAGTTTAAAACTTCATATAACAGAATCTGTTACCAAAATATTACCGTTAATAATAGTTAAATTCTGTTTGACATCACCTAAACATGTATATTAAGCGATGTCTGGCATAGAAACCGATTCTTAATGACAAAAAATATAAGCATTTTATTAATAATTCTGTGGAAAAAATACGAAATCTTATGTATGTTTTGCATATAATCCGCGTTCACGACAAGGAATACCATGTATTCATTGGCTGCCAATTGTAGACAAAATACACGTATATTATTATAACTTATAATTTATAAGTTAGTTGTGAATGACGTTCAGTATTAAGTCTTAACACAATTATAACGTGTAATTTAAACGCTAATTATGATTAACTTATTATTATTATTATTAAGTTGTTTTGTCACAAATATGTCTGGAGAAACATTATAAGTCCTGTAAAACACATAAACCCACAAACAGTTGTATTTAGCAATAATTAGTTTATAAATACCAATTATTACGTTCATTTAGTTAAATCGTGCTTGCTAGTAGAAAATGTTGTTTTGTTAAAACTAGTTAAATTACAATAAATTAAAGTCTTTATAATATATGATAAATTTATTTGGGTATAAACAGCGACAAAACCTCTCACTATTTGTCTTAACAAAAAAATATAAAATAAAATAAAAAATTTTGCAAATTTTAATTAGATTTCAATTAAACCAAAAAATCATTCATAATTTTGGTAAAACGTCTGCAACTTCGGGCCCAGATGTTGGCTCACGGGATAGACCACACCCTGCGGTCGGACCCGTTTCTCGGTCGTAAACTTGGGCCTATCCTTCACGTAATTCACCGGCTGTACGATTGTCAACAACTTTGACGGATCCAACGGATTGCGGATCTGTCGCACAATGATGTCCGACGGCGGCAACGGCTTATCGTCCTCGTCCTCTCCGTCGCGGCCACCCTTTCCCGGCTTCGGTAACTCAATCTCGGGAATCCCGAGTTCGGGAATCGCTGGCCGTTTGCCGTTGCAATACTTCGGGGGCTTTCGTTTGACGAGATACGTGCGGACACCGCTGGCGATGAGTCGTCGCGGTCCCGGATCCGATGGGTGACATATTTCGTAGCAATTCTTGATGGATATGAATCGGTTGGCGTTACCGCCGCGACCCGACCACGAGAAGGGCAGACACTGTTGCAACACCGGGTTGTAATAGATGCGGACAATGTCTTCGACGCCTTCGCCAGTGTCGGGCACGAGTTCGCACATTTGCTGTATCGACAATTCAATGGATCCCGGGGCGCACCCGCCGTTCTGGCCGTTTACCACGTTTACGGCAACGACTATTGGGTGGTAATGAATGTTTTTAGACCATGTGTTTTGTTTTTAGTGTCTGTTTTTTACTTACAATTCAACAAAACGGCGATTAAAAGCGCAAACAATTTCTCCATTATTTTTATATACACTTAATTGAAACCTAAATCCATATTTAATTATCGATTTCATTCATTACACTCTGTTGTGAATAGTAATCGCAAAACAGATGGCTTTCAAACGTTGCAACCAATGAAATAAAATGGTAATCATTTTAAAATTCATTATTAATTTAGTTATGATTTATTTAAATTATTTTTTATGCAAAATATATGCTAACATTTTTTTCCTAAACAATTGTTTTCAATTCAAAAATAAATAAAACAATAACAAAATTATAGTTGAGATTATAATCATTGAAATTCATAATTAAATTAATTTTTTAGATTCAAAACTGTGTGAGAATTCAAACCATAGGAAACAAAACAACTATAGATTTAAACGTAAATCTCATAAAACA